TCCTCGTCCCCGGCCCCCATCGCCCAGCTTGTTTGATACCCTGGAAATAGAACAACGCTGGAAAACACTCAAAACCGTAGCCATAGGATTCATGTGGTTCCCTAGAACATCCCAAAGCCTCTGCACACTATGAAAACGAGGCAGGAAAGTAGCCACCGAACTCAAAGCCAAACAGAGGAGGGGTAGATTAATTTGGTTGGCAAGCATAGTCCAGGGAAAGTGCAGGGAGCAAACTAAGCAAATGAATGAACACACAAGCAATTCAATGGCGTGATAAGGCCACCTTGGGAAAGATTGGATGCATCACCAGCTCCACAGTAAAAACCATGCAAGCAAGTAGTCACTACACTGCACTAAGAACCAGGCAGGGTAGCCATCACACTGAAAACCAGGCAGGAAAGTAGCCACCACACTGACCCCCGTCGCGTCGGAAATTCATTCAGGCCGGTTCTCAGAGGGTTCTATTGGATGGCCTAACCCATCTTTGACTAATCGAGGGGTGTGCAACCTCTCCACAACCGATTATTTCTCCAAGTAGACATGACCCCTGGATCCAAGGCACATTGGGAGCAGTCCAATTATTGTAATTGCATGATCCGACTGAGGTGTCCACCAACATGTTTGCCTAATTGTATTCAATTATCGGAGAAGTCGGAGACGAAAAACAACATAATTGATAAATATGAATGAAGTGCTAGGTCACCCCTCCTCCAATCAATTTTTAGAGGGGACATATATGTCTCCCTCCAGGTGGGATGTGATCAACTGTCGGTGTCGGCACTTGCGGAGCCGTTTGTTTCCCTTCCTCTCGGATCGGAAGTCCAAATCTGCCAAAGAGTGCCCCAAAATCGCGATCGGAAGCAATCTCTTTCATCTCCACAGACCTTGTTTGTGTGTGTTTTGTTTGGCCTAGTTTCGCATCTTCCACCCAAATGTCTGGACTGAGGCTTGACGATTTCTTACATCCTCTTGGTCATGGACACTTGCTCAAGCACTCACCTAGCTGTTTTTGCCATGTTCTCCATGCCTCTTGCCTCACTTAACAAAAGGCTAAACATAGGGAATGGCCACCTAGTGCAGAGTTGAGTCAAAAAGAATGTGTCCAAAATAGGAGCAATGCTTACCCTTCTGAAGACTACAAATACTACAAGTAGTACTACAAGTAAGATGGAACGTGGAAACACACCTGTTGCAAACAGAACGTCATTTTCAGGCGTTCATTCATGTTCCATATTTATATATATAGTTATGGTCTTCCATATAGGGGATGGTGACTCTTATTTTGTACTTGGTAGACTTTGTTGCTAGGTCCTTGGTCAGGTTGAGACGTACACCCCAGGTGTCGGGCAGAATGGATGGGATTTATTAGTACCACCTAGCAGGGCAAACACTGACCTGAGCCGGCTGAGTTACGGAACATCCACGGGCATCCACACACGCGGGGAACACCCCTTTCGACGGCAGATCCAGCAACCACGAGAGCCATGACTTTCACTCCGAGGAGGTCGCATCAACACAGGAAAGTCCATCGAATGGAAAGGTTCGAAGGTCCATCACAGTTGAAGGGCAGTTAGCTCTTGATCCACATCCAAAAATGTGTCTCTTTTGCTGCCGTTTAAAAGAAACAGCTGCATCACCCACTAGAATCACTAGAAGTGAAGGACACTCGCTCGTGCGGCCTTCTGGGAATACTTGTGAACTCGAAAACACTTCGATCATGCATCAGCAGTAAGCACAATAAATGGACAAATACTATTTGGTGAAAAAGGGAAGATTGCAGCAACAGCAACTGCCAATCAAAGATCAAACCGTATCAAACCTTTGCTACCTATGCACATCTCCACTTCGCATCCGATTTAAATTTACTAATAGTAACAAGAAGCTACTAGGAACAAGTGCCACGCTAGTAGTAACAAGAAGCTACTAGTAACAAGTGCATGAACCACTGGACTTTTGGAGTTGGTCCCCAAGGAGTGACTGGCTCTGTTTTAGGCAGTTACTGGATTCCTTAAGCGCAGGCAGTGGCTGATCCCCACAGCTCTGCCGCAGCTAAACACAATGCGAATGGAGGCACATCACGGTTGAGAGCAACAAAAAAATACATCCAATCATCCAAGAACACTCCTGGACCCTCTTGAAATCATTGGGAGGTGCTCTTATTTGCGAAAAACATGTGCCCTTTTACCTGCGAAAATGAATCCTGTTGTTGAAATATTGTGTTGTGTGTGTCAATAGTGACAGTCCCAGCCACAACAACAACTCATCTCTTTATCTCGGATACACTGCACATATTTTGGGTGGGGGCTGGCATTTACCAAAAATATGGAAGACAGAACTCTTTTGATCATCCAACTCAACTTGCCCAAAAGAGTCCTTGCTCTCCTTTTTGAGGACCACATCAAATACCCCCACAATGGAGCGGTCTTCGATGGGTGAATTCTCAGGTTCCATGGGATCGTTTCCGGGGAGGTCTCCCAAAAAATCAACCAACCCTCCAAGTCCAGTTGTTACAGTCCGACAAGCTCTCTCTCTCTCTCTGTCAGGGCAATGATTTGGTGGTGATCAAAGGATCTTTGAGATGCACACAGCCGGGACTCAAACAAAACTCTTAACTCTTAGACCCCTCCACAGACCGAGCGGAAGTTATCAAGAAACAACAAGCACATGGAGTTGTGGTGTGGTTGATGTGCATGACTGAAGAGTTTTTGTGTGACGCTATATAGGTCATGTGATGACGAGTGACGTGCAGTTTCGGATGTAGTGACGCCTCTGCGTGAAATGTGTTACAGCTGTTCGTTGACAGGTTCAAGTGTAGTGCGACGACGAGTGAGTGCAAGAATGAGTGAGTGGGTGAGTGAGTCAGTTAGTGAATGATCTGCTAAGCAGCTCTTTCTCCAGCTTCTGAAGCCAGCTCTCAGCACAAACCATGGGACGCCAGTCCATGTATCGGCACAAAACGCTAGCTTTTAGGCTTTTGAGATCTTTTGAGACACCGCGGACCGCAACCGTTGTAGCTTGAAAGCAAACACTAGATAAATGTATAGCTCAGGATACAGCTCAAAGGAAATAAATCCTATAATTTGTTTGCTTAGCTCCAAAAAACTACACACAATTGTACTCCAAACTCGCCACTGCTGAGTCCGAAGCTAAAAAACAAGCGTGTCTGCGAGCACGACATTTGTCTTGCCAGTTCTCCACCTGTAGCTGCTTTACAAGTTGCTTCGCAAATACTAGAGTTGTACTCTAAGCTCGAAGCTTCTTTGCACAGCCCTGACAGAGCGTACAGTAGAAGATTCTCCCATCCTGTCTGCAGTGTCAAACCGACTGAAACCAACCCCAACTCTTCCCTGCTCAGCCCTGCCAGTGCAGAAGCGACCCGTTCCGCCCCTTCGCTTTCCACACTCCCGTCCTGCCCCGTGACTGCTGTAGTTTGCTTTAACGCGCGTTTCCCGATCAATGCTCACTGCAGCTTTTTGTAACTCGGAAGATTTGGTCGACATTTCCCTCGATGTTTTACAATCAAACAACTTGCTCAGGGGGTCTTTGAGCTTTGTTTCATCTTTGTGCACTTCAAACGACCTTCAGAGTCTATTCCAAGTGTACTCTTTACTGTCCGACAAGCTCTGTCAGGGGTGTCTTTGACCGCGCAAAGCTGGCCAAATTTATATCTACATCTACATTATAGAAAGAAACACATGCATACAATTGCATACATAATTACTGAATCATCATGACATTAAATATTTATATAGTGTATACATATATATATATATTATATCAATATCGTACATTATCGTACATATGTTGTTGTCAAGGTATATTCGTCATGCCCTGCCGCCCTGCCGTATGAATACGGGCTGGCCTCCCCCCGCGCTCAATCTGGAACAGTGATGTGTTCGCCAGAAAACATGCAAGCCGATGGCGTTTCGACGGCAAGTCCACAATGGCAAGGTTTGCGTACAAATACTGCACGTCTGCAGTTCGAGCCAGGAGGGAACATTGTCATAAGCCAGACCTTCTTACAATTCTTCTAACTATCCATTTATTTATCTGAATGGTATGTTTGTGTCAGCTTATTCGCTTTGATGTCTCCAGACTTCCACGCCGGACGTTGCAAACATGCTTCGAACAGTCCCTGTGGTGCCGACCGATGGGGTCGTTGCCCATATGAGCATAAACAAGTTGTTCAAACATTGACCTTGAGGACCCCGGTTTGCTACACGCTTTCGTGTGCCCCCAAACTAATAAGCCCTGGGCCCACACATTGAATCTGTTGAGTATGTCCAAAAAAGGCTGCAGCAACCCAACGCAGGAACCATCGTCCTCCTTCTCTACGTGCTTGCAACTGAACCCCCCCCGCAAAGTCATATCAACCATAATCCCTCACTGAGACTCATCTTCATCAGTAAGTTCACTTACTTGCACAAGAATTTGGAATAATCATTGAATGGGAACAGTCACAGTTCCACAACAGCATGCAAAACCATCTACAAAGTGTAAATACCTGAAATGACTGGCAAACCTCATCTGTTATTACTTGCACCTTTATTTAAAGCTGTGGGCCCACTGTGGGCCCCAAACATTGCGCCACTGGCGCCACATGTCACATAATCCCGCTTCGAAGTTCTGGCTTTGCTGCGACACGTCATCCTCCTGATTGGCTGCCTGTCCTGCTCCCTTCAAACCTGGTGAGCCAGAAACCGGCCAAAGGGCTTAACAATGGTTTGATTGATTGATGGATCGATGGATTGGTGCCACATCCATCCACATCCTGAATCGTGAGAAGCTCCGCTCCGAGTTTGTTGCCATGCCGGGCTGGGCGCTGGGGGAGGTCAGACTGCGACCAACTGCGGAGGTCAGACTTGTTTGTGACCAATCCCTTACATCGATACAAACTCCAACTCTAACCAGCAGCGGTTTAGTAGTCACGAGAATCCCTCGAAGCTCCCCAAAGTGACGACACATGAAGAAAGCATACTTGCAAATGTTTAGTGGGCAGTTAGCCTAGTTTGCAAAGTCCAAGTGAGTTTCAATGTGGCCGAAAACGGCTCCAGAGAGGCAGCGATGTCCGGATCCATCCGGTGTTGCTCAGAATGCAGGCCAACATAGGCCTAGGTGGGTACTGCAGGTTTGAGCTCGGGCAGGGAAATTCAGTGGTTATACACAGTGGTTGTAATAGAACAAACTTATATAAACGGTGATTTCTATTGAGCTCAATTGAGCTCCTCATTTCTATATTGGCCACACAAATTTGTATGTTGAATCTGTGAAGAACATCATGTGCAGTATACATGGCTCACACTCCCGGATAGGTAGCATGTCGCCTTTATATATTCATAGGATCATCGTCTGGCCATCCATACATGGTCCACTCCCGGGTGGTCGCCTTCCGAACTGGATGGTTTGTCCGCGTTGTGGAGCCCAGTGAAAAATGGATGGTTGGTCCAGACCCCTCCGGTCAGTGGTCAGCGTGAAAATGGCACGTCCGTGGTGTGCTGTCACGATTTCCCCTGTCTGATGAACTGGATTTCTACCCGCAGCTCGCGAATCCAAACGGGGACCAGTGGGGAACGCACAAGGGCATTTTAGGAGAGAAACGATCTGTTTCTGGAATCCGTGTATATAACATCTTCTCAACATCTTACATCGTACGTTTGTTTGGATTTCTGGGGATACCGAACCTCCGCACATCCGCACCGCACGCCTCTTCTGGTTTACGGGCATTTGGCATCTTCCTGGGCGTTCCCACTGTCCCAAACGTTGGGTTCAGCATCAATGCTCCTGACGGGTCCAACAGTGAGAGGTCTCATGTAGCAGCCAACTGGGCGTGGCGACGGTGGCATCCGAAAAGCATCCGAAAGGTGCTCCCCCTTGAAGGGCCTTGAGGTTCCGCAGAAGTACACAAAGGGTTTGGACCTCATGATTCATGATGTCAAAAGACAGGCCTCCGGTTCCGGACGGTTCCGAACGGTCTGAAAGGTTGCAATAGCCCGCTAAACCAAGACGCTAAGTCCGGGACCCAAAGACAAGGGGTTTCCCCTTGCCAGGTTGTGAATCGCGTCCAGTCGATGCGCAGAAGGACATTTGAGTGTGTGCACTCTGGGAAGGTCAGGACAGCCACAGCAATATATCGTGCAAATATATCATTATAATGCATGTAGTTAGTGGTGGCATTGTCAGTGGAGCCAGCTGCCACTACAGGGTAATTTGGGCAACTGAAGAAACTACTGTACACCTTCGCTGATCTTGTCCAAGACTAAGAATCACACAGAATCAAACAGTCCAGCTTGCTTTCGCATCTCACCCGTATTCTTCCTGTCCTTCTTTCCTTAGAAGAACAGCTAGTGTGGGACATGGCGCCCTGATCACTCCTGGGTGGCTCTGCGCCCGCGTCCATCAACACCTGGCCGGCCGGCTTCTCTGACTCTCGGGGGAGAACGGCCGGATGGGAGGACTGCCGCAGCAAAAAGACATGGATATCGCCAGTGAGGTTAGCCAGGTTGGTGACCAACGAAGTGAAGATATTCATGTTCTCAGCTCTGTCAAACGAGACATTGCTAATTATAAATAAGTGCAATGCGGGTCATGAAATCTCTTGAAACACCTCTGACACAATGCGGGTGAGAAGTCCTCGCATGGAGGGAACTTGATTGCCAACTGCCCCGTGGATCTATGGCAAATGTTTACAAACTGAGAAGTGCCATGACCTGAGATCCCCTCTTGCAAAAACAATTGTGATGTGTCACACAAATTTCTTAGGTGTGGCAAGCCTCTGATGTGGCAACCACGTGTCGAACCCAAGCAATTTGGAAAAGGAGGCCTCATAAGGATTCACTGTTGGATACCTGAATCATACTGAGAAGATTCACAAACAAAGCACTTGAACCACTTGTCTTGGATCCACACAATACAATACTCCTTCAATTTCAACCAACTGCTCCCAAGAAAGCCCGCCAACCCCATGAAAGCAGCCTTCAATGCCGCGAATGCAGCCTCATTCATCGCGCTGGCCTTGGCGAGCTTCTTGAACTATTGAGGGTCCACAGTCCATACCCAACAGCCCCTCACTCTAACTTAGACTTGGTGGTTCGACCTTCTTAGAAACTATATATGTAAGTCCACTGGGTCTTGTCAAAGTTGATTGGACGTCCGGAAGAGATCGGATTAGATCGGGGTGAATTCGACCCGATGGGCTGAGGGAGGGAGGGAGGGAGGCAGGGAGGGACAGAGATGGATGGGGACGGCGTTCGAAGCTCTGACCGCGGAAGGGGATGCATTTTGAGACTACTAGTAGCGTCCTTGTTCCTAGTAGCGAGGAGCCCCTAGTAGCTTCTTGTTCCTAGTACAACCGGGCCACGATCTACCTTTGTACCAAAGGGCAATAAAGCCACCCAGAAATTCAATTTGCAGTCTCTGGCTGAAGGAGACATGCTGTCTAGAGTCAATCGAAACCATCTGGAGGAATTTGGTGTGACCCTCCCAAAAACTAACATAGACATAGACGTGACAGGTGGACCTGTAAACAAATTGGTGTCAAAGGCAAAGGCGTGTCTTCGTCACTTCAAGTGAAGAGCCCCGGACACCAAGTGGAGGCTCCGGACACCAAGTGAAGAGCCCCCCAACACAAGATTGTCTTCCTGAGATGCTCATCTACCATGGCGGGGGGGTCCTCAAATTGCGCTGCCCTCCTTCCCCGAAGCTGCGCTCAGGACGTGGCGACCGTGGCTGGGGCTTGGAAGCATGCAGTGTATGATCTCTGGATCCTGTCGACAGGATCACTCTTAACGAGTTTGAGTGGCCCTCTTCAAAACAAAAGCACATCCACTAAAAAGGGATGCAAACTCGGATGTAAGAATGGGCCCCCCAAAATATGTTATTACTATTGGAGCACTCTGAAGTCAATTTTGGACCACACCAGTAGCCTTTCATGTCAGTGAAGGACCCCGCAAGCAATGGGGACTTAGAATATGCTCGATCTAATCTTGGCTTTGGACTCCAAGGCATAATTCCTAGAAGGTAGTAACAAGGAAGCTACTATAGTAACAAAGGCATTCTTAGAAGGTAGGTACGGTGACTACTTTCGGGTCTTTCGCTCGAGGCTGGGAGGCCTATTTTTATGTGACTAGCGTTTGCGCAATGGAACATAGATATACTGTTGTGTACGGTATGTATACTGTATATATCTTATATATATAATCAAATATAACAAACATCCTTCAAAAGCCTGAGGTAGAATGCCATCGATGGCAATGCCTGCTTTCAATGCCAATGATTCGGGTCCGTGCATGGTCCTTTCAATTTTCTCCCGATTGGCCCTGCCTGCGCCGACTTGACTAAGTAAGGGAGAAGTTCGCTCAGGGTGACTAATTAGTTAGCTTAGCACTCGCACTAATGATTAATGATTTAGTTCCTAGATTTTTAGGGAAACCTCACGGGTAGAATGTGCCTCATCAAATGCCCCTCGGTTCTTGTACCTTTGCAACCTCATCGATGTTGGTTGACCGTGGAATGATTCTATTGCTCATTATGACAGCCGGGACGCATGCGATGCCGTTGGTCTTAAAACAAATACACCACTGCACTGGCTAAACCTAGGAGCTCGTCCAATGCATTTCATATGCAGGCAAAGCAAACAACCCACTTTCTGATTCGCGTTTATATAATTTTATATATACATATATATATATAATTATATATAATATAGAGATTACCTCGGCTTACAACGTCTCAACATGTAGAAACCACAAGCCACAAGCCCCAACAATGGGATAGTATGGGTATGACACAAATACGATAGGGGTACATGCTGGTTTCTTATGGTTTCTTCCACAGGTGGAGCACATGTCCAAAGATCTTCCCAACCTGAGATGCTTCTTCTACCTTTGCAGGCAACCCATGTCTCTGTCTCATTGACTGCTCCAAAAGCCACCGTTGGTGATACCTCGGCAGTGATCACACCCTCGCCTGCTGCTGATGATGTCTGCAGGGCTCTGGCCCCATGAATCTCGAAGATTCACATCGGCACCGTGTTCGAGAAGACATCGCATCACCTGCCATGGTTGGCCAGGCCGGCTGGTCGGCCCCCGTAGCAGTCTGTCTGTCAGTTAAGGGTATGTGTAACTATATAGGATAATATTTGGGGGGAACCCCTTTTTTGACTTTCAAGCTGTTCGAGGTCTGCGACCGCCAGCTACGGGGTTCTAGTTATGTTATTTCTTCATCTTACAACGGACCGTGTCGGTAGCAAAGTCAGTTATAGTAACACTGATTCCATGCCTCTGAAAGAAATGTCCAAACACAAGTGGAGACTGAGTTGCGGCTTACGTTTTTGAACCCCCGCTTCTCTGTCAATTGGGGCAGGCATTGCCGGCAGTTTACATTCCCACAGTTTACCCAAATGTATGCTATTGTACAAACTTTCCCGGAGACGCTTCCAAATGCTTCCAAACATGGAAGCAAGCAAGAAAACATGTATACAGTATATTAATGATAATCATCATGCATACACGCATTTACAACTATACGCGTGTACACTAGTGCGTATGCATCTGGACACCCCGCTCGAACTCATCCGTGCCGTTGTTCGATCCCCGTATGTATCTGTCGCCTCTGCGCTGCAAAAGGCTTTGGCAGCGCAGCAAAGGGGCGGCTCCATGGAGTTTTCGAAGAAGGGGTAACGTGCAGCCTCAACGCTGCGGCAGCACTTGAATTGCTGGAGAGGAAATTCCGCGGCAGCAGAACCGGTCCGTTTGGAGAATTCGATTCTTGGAGAGATTATGTACATAAACTGATGTGAACTTACGGACGCTATTAGGTTGGAGGCCATCTGTCGCTAGTAGGCACCTCCTTAATTACAAAAAGCTGGACGATGGACGTGTGGAGGTGCCAGGGTCTTGTCCATGGCCTTTTTCCGATGAGACTGGTGATTCTCTTTGTGTCCTTGCTACTAGGAACAAGTGCATCGCTACTGGGAGCAAGTGCCTTACTAGTAGTAACAAGAAGCTACTAGGGCTCCTGGCATTGCTATTAGGAGCAAGGACGCTAGTCCAATACACAAATGCGAAAGGCTGGACCCGCCCGGTCGTGACCCTTTTGGTTCCGAGTGGTTTGTTCCTGGTTGTGCGTCCAAGTCGGTCGTCGTCGGCGTCGTCTGGATGGCTGGTCTGAGGAACTGCCATGCCCAGAGCACCGAGTCCAAAGAGCTACATCTCCCACTCCAGCGGACGTACAGTGGTTTCAGAATAGATGGCACAATCCCCAAAAGGTGGTTTATTTGAACCCCCATCTAAAGGACATGTAGGGGTTTGTGCCATCTACTCTGAAACGACTGTATATAATTAGGAGGCATCCGGAAAAAGGGTGGCACTCTGGTGGCACAAATGGCATTTCACTGTCGGATGCATTCCCAATCCATGGCTCGATTCCAAGCGAACATGGCTAGGGCTAAGCTAGGGTTCAGAAGAGCTGATGTTTGCATATTTTTACCATCCACTGGTGGCCGCATCTCAGCTGCTTGGAGAGGTTTGCGATATTCACGTTACCGGACGGTACTTTGCCATCACATGGTGCACCTGTGCACTTTTTCAACACACCCAGAACCAGTTGCACCCAAAAAAGGTCACGAAAGACTTAGATTGGAGCTGTTTGAGAGCAAAACATGGAAACACGTCACGTACTCACCACAAGTAAACAAAGACTTGAGGATACATAAGGATACGGTATCAAACAGGATCTCACCCACTTCTCACCTCAGGGTCTTCCGCCAAAAGATCCAGCAGTGCCGTGCACATTGCCGCACCTCACAATGCGCCGTATGCCGCATGTGCACGATTGGACGTTCTCAGGTTGGGTGGATCATGGTGGATCATTTGATTTTGTATGGGTCACCGCAGTTGTGCCAGTTGGACCAGGTATCAGGTATCCCAAAGCCATTTTCCAATGCAAACGTACTCACTCGGCTTGCCAGCATGCTGTTTCTCCTCAACCACCAATCAAGTGGCGCTGGAAATTGCTGGAAAGTGGTCTTGCCTTCCCAACCCGGTCTGATTAGCAAATGTCTGTGATGACATGAGGTGGATGAAGCAAGAAAGCAAGTCTTTGGGGCCTACCGCTGTCTGAAAATCCTGTCACACACCCCACACACCGAGCGAAGCGGGCCATGGGTGCTTGTATGTGTTTAACCTCAAGAAAATTCAAAGCAAACACACAAACACAAAATAACCGTACACACAAAGAAGTCAGCGCTCTGAGGTTGGCTAAATGGATGTGGCCCCGGTCAGTTGCATCTACGGGGTCAATCCAAGAAGCAACGAAAGAGCTCCGACCTGACTGGGATCAAATCCCGCTTGATCGTGAGTGGTCTTTTGTTTCAATGTCATAGGTACTTGAGCTTTGTAAAGCACACTTGGCAATCGTCGAAGTCAGGGACATGTTCTCAATCATTTTACCAAAACCACTGCCTTGTGAGGTTGTTTCCTTTTGCAGGGTCCATGCTAAAAGTCTTGAGGGTGTCAAGGGATGGATGTTCACGGATTTTCTGTCTGTTGTTTTGGATTGTCTTGAGAGGTGCCGGACGCGAATTGCACAACAATTATAACATACTATAACCAGTGCTTGCAAGCTGTTCATTCACAGTATAGGTGCCACACCTGCGAATCGACTTGCACGGGCTTCTTTCTGACTTGCAAAAAAACAAAAACAACATAAGTACAAGATGGTAGGCCAGGGTAGACCAACCCCTGGTAGGCTCCAATGATTTCCAAAAACTCCAATGGTAGGCTCCTGTGATGGACACCGGGTCAAGGCAACAGGACCCGACAAGAGAATCCCACCATGTTTCCCCCCATGTTTCGGGGGTTCAACATGGTTCAACAAGCAATACATGTTCAAGGGCAGCTTGCAACATGCAAATATAATCGAATCTCTGAACACCCCCTGAACGATTCAAGAGAATTCTCCACCCACAAAGAACTCCCGCTCGGATCGGTGCCGGGGTCCCTCGCTATCGGTGTTGGCTTGAAGTACCTGGCCGACAAGAGAGGAGTAAATCTTCCCACCAAATGATGGGTGAAATTAACTTATCAAAAACACCATATATCATAGACTGTATTGTATGATATTTCTTGATATATATATAATTATATATATTTAGTAAACATATCTACATAATTTTATTAATATAACATTATAACATTATATCAAGATGACAGTGGTAAATTTTCCGCAACTGTTTTTGTTGCTTTCCGAGCCATTCCACATCTCTCATCTGTGTTCTCCCCCTGTAGGAGCTTGCTCCCAGAACGGAAGCTGCGACTTGCAGAACAAGGGCAAAAATCCAAAAGTGCAACTCCTGTAGCACTGGCTCCTTCTCGATTTGCTTCGCTTCATTGCTTCACGCCGTAATTCATGGGACGCCTGGCGGCTGGGCCAAGGCCTCGATGGCACTGACCACTGACCACTTGTCCTCACAGGGATGGTGAAGAGCTGTGAAGCTGTCGCGGACAGCGGGACTTCCTGAAGCTGTGCTCCATGTTTCAGTGCCATACACGCAGAAGTCCTCTGGGCAATTGCAGTCGAACATGTCGAACCCCCAAAGCACCAAAGCAGTGATGGTGAGGCACACGGCTGCTTCAATGAAAGCCTTCGTCTTGGCCTTGGCCATCGGTGTCCCTACCAGAATGAGCTCTCATGTTTACAACACATGAAGTGACATGTCTGCCGACATGTTCACCAAGAGAGCCATTTTGCATGCAGGCCTCTTGGCCAAGCAACACACAAGCATCTTCGACGGATCTCCCAGAACGGTCGGACCCAGGTCCGACATGTCGATTCACCTTTTTGTGAGGTCCGACATAGGTTTGTCACAACGACAGCAGCAATTTTTGGAATTCACCAAAATTCAATGAGGTCTGCTGTTGGCTGTGGGTGTATCATGTCATATAACTTTGTACTGTAGCTCATGTGCAGAGCTTCTGCCAGAAATCCTCTGACTCTGAAGAATGTTCACCCCTGGCTAGTTGGGTGGGGACGCCAGTAGTTTTGTGGACTTTTTGCCCAAGACGTCCCAAAACGCATTCAAACATTTGAGTCATTTGAGGACTTGAAACAATAACAAGCGCCCTACGCTGTCAGTGTACCCTGACAGAATGCTGTCTTTTTCACCCCCAGCTTACAGTCCTGCAAGTGGCACGCTAGCGGCTAGCGAATGGCTAACGTGTCCCCCAGCAATGAGTCTTCACCAAACCACTGGCAAGTCCCTGGCCGGCCTTCATCAGTGGAGGGGCCGAGGCCTTCCGTGGTGCGCGAGGAGGTGTGTCTGGTGGACCACCTGGGCAATCCACAGCCAGGTTGCAGCCGAGCTCACACAAGCATGTCAGCAATAGATAGAAGCACCCGGCTTTGGGGTTGGCCACTTAGATTTTGTGTAATCCTGTCAAATTTAACGAGGTCTGCTATGTTCAAAACCGGAACATATTGCAAAACATAAGATCTTGTTGATACGCTTTGGACGCTGCGCCCCAAACCGCTGGGCAAGCTTTTTGCCACGGCTTCCCAACATATTGACATTTCTCCAGAATTCTCCGCAGTCTGTCTCATATAATAGATTGTGAATTAGTTGATTGTCACCTGAAGATTTCCACCTGATGAACCTGTTTCCAAGCAATTGTAACACTGGATTTCATGGTCCGCAAGCAAAATCATAAAGCGAAAACATGCAACCCTTGCGCTCCAAGGGGTAATTATTAGCTAGACCACCAAACACCTGCCCAAATACCTTGGAAACGGAGGTCTGCACAAAACTATACTAGCGATGGCTTCCAACCTAAGAACAATGGCCTCCAATGGCCTCCAACCTAATAGCGATGGCCTCCAACATTTGGAAGTTGTAGACCCTCATCTGGCCCTCTGTGGTGCATAGGGCCTGCAAGGGCCTGCGTCAGGCGTCTGAACTTGGGAGACCCCGCTGACCCGCGGGGTATGGAAGCCATCGTCCTGACCGCGCGTGGATGGGCACAACAAAGGCCCAAGTTCGGCTTGTGCCGAGATTGGAGAAATCCATGATCATTGAAACTATTCATGATACAAGGGGGCCCCTAGTACGTTTTTGGGGATTGGAATGCATGCCTTTCATTGCCCGCGGGATCTTGTTTCGGCACTATGAAAGAAACTGAGGAATTGATATGATACGAAAGCACCTTTGCATAATAAAAAAAACATCTTCCAGTGTTCCTCTGGGATAATGTCCATACATTGGATGTTCACTGCTTCCAAAAAAGGCATACATGACCACTGTCATGAAAGATCCAAATCCCATCAAATCCCTACAGGCGACACACAAAGGAAAAGCTTGACCCAAACCTCAAACATATACAGGTTGACCATCTCTACAACAAGTAACAGTTATTTCTGCGTCTTTTTCGTTTTTTTCGAGTGAGCAACCTTACTTGTCAGTGACATCATCTACGGGCAGTGGCCCACATGTGGTACGGCAAAAGCGGCAGTCTAAGCCGAGGACTTGTCGCCCATGCAGTTCTTGTCGTGCCATGCGGTTCTCGGGCTTTGGAACCCCTCCAAAAAACCTATATAGGTTGGAGGCCATTGCTAGTAGGTTGGAGGCCATGCTATTGGGTTGGAGGCCATCGCTATTAGATTAGTCTAGAAATGTCGTCTCCCTCCTCCCAGCTTTTGCATGGATATAACTTATGATGAAGAACCTCGTCCAGCACGTTCTCTGCAACACGCTGCTATGGGTCAAAGCTTTCTGCTCTGCTTGAATAGCTGTGGGTCAAAGCCAGCAAACCCAGAACAGAATGGATTACCCAAAAGGTGAACCTGTCATTTTTTTTTTGGGAGGTATGATCCTATATAACCCTGCAGTATTTTTTGTACAAGTTGATGATGTGACACTTTCCAAATGACAAACATGACCAATGCACTCTGCATTACAAAGATCACAAAACCAAAACCACTTGGCAATGTGACATCCCGCTTGGGGATGTCAAGGTCTTGATATGTCTTGGACGCTTTCAGCATTTCAGGAAGAGCTGCTTGGAGAATGTGAACATCCCCACTATCCTACCATTCAAATCCCGTCCACGGCGACGGCCACGGGGGTGGGGCGAAACACGACCGATAGTGGCTTCTTCCAAGTAGGGCCGCTCCTCTTCATAGATGGGTGCAAAAGAATCCTGGAGGCCGAAGTCATTAACCAAGAGGAAGGGTGAAGTCCGATGTCTGTCCGGGCCCCTGAGACACGATCTTGAAGCATCGAAGACAAGCGTTGAGATGTTCGAGGAAAATAGGGTGCGCTATGATTCCCGCATCTGACTCAGTCCAGGAGCTTCCTCTTCCTCTTCCCTGGCTCAGAAAACACTGATATGAGATGTGTCCTTCAACAGTGGTAATTGATGTCAATCAGCTTGGGCTTAAAATAACCAAAGGAGCACCAATGGGGTTCGGTTAAAAGAAGCAACATGAGTACAAGTACAACATTATCATTAATTAATTACCCTCTACTCCCGTATTTTTGGCTTCGCTGGCTTGGCATCGATTGACAACATAACAGGTACGGAAACATGTGTTTTGTTGGACCCTGAGTACATATGAGTTGAGAGTCTCCCAGCAGCCCCGTCCAACTGGCAAAGGACTTTTGCCCCCTTAGAGATACCTTCATATGTCGAAAAAAGAACTGAACTGTGCGCACAGCCACGTGGTACAAACAATCTAGGCACGCAGGTCATGTAAGATCATCTTGTCCTTCATGCTACGTCGTGTCCACGACGTGGGCGGCATCCACGACAAGAAGGCGAACGTGTCGGAACGGTACCGCCGTTCTTATACGGTACGGTGCCCCGCGTTCTTCACCCTTCAGAAGGTGCCACCCGACACCCTCTGTGGCCAACACACGGTGCCACGGGGCCAGCGCTCGGAGTCCGCGCCGCTCTGCCCAACGGCCCAGCTCGGATGGCCGAGCTGGGCCGGTGCTGTGGCTTTTATTGTGTTATTTTTCAGGTTCCTCGACTGCCTGCCTAGCATGTCCGTTGGTCCGTGTAAAGCAAATCATACCCAATACTGCATAGCAGGATGATCACTCTATCACCAACTCCACAAATCCACTATAATCCACTACTACTGATGTGCACATCTTTCTGCATAATTCCAGCAAATCTCCCTGGCTCTTGCACAACTCAGAACTTCTTGAATTGATATATATATATATATATTATATATATTATATAATATACATATATATATATATTTGGCAAAACGACAAAGCCATGCAAACCCACAAAGGCCCCACTATCCACATGCACAAAGATGCACTCCAAGAACCTGCAATTCCGCTTTCCACACTTTGGCAAAAGGTTCATGCGTCCAGTGTCCATTTGCTCTGGGGGCTGTTCCATGCAATTTTTCAGCGTGTGGAATGAAAAAAGACTCCATCAACCCACACAGAAACTGTTTGCGTTCGCGTACTCTCGCGTTCGACACATCTGGTTCTCCTGGGTGTGCGGTCGCGGGCTCTCCAAGTCCTTGGCTCGTACCGGTGCTCGTGGGTTCCGAAACTTCGCCTTCGGCATGAAGAATATTATGTAGTTCGTCCACAAATGTTATGTAGTATGGTCACGTACTTCACATCGATTTCAATACCAACCAAACGCCTTCGCCATCTTCGCCTTCTTCGCCTCCGGCTTGGCCCCCGCACCGCGGTTCGGGAGTGTCGGAACTCTGGGAAGTCCAGGAGACCGAAGGCGCCAGGGCCCCAGAATGAAGGGGCCTGCGTCATTCGGCGTTCCCGCCACATTCCCCAAAAAATCCGGTGGGGTCATGGGCCATGTTTCATGGCATCCAAAGAAGCCATGAAACCATGGCACGAAGACACTGCGAGGGCCCATCAGTACTTTGCTTTGAGTTTTGAGCAAAAGCTTGGCAGCGAGAGCTCTATATAAATACATATATATATATACAATATATATATACAGTACTTAGATCTTGCTGACAGAACTGCTATAGTACAGTAGGTACGACCACAACAACCACACTGATATGACCAAAATGAACCACTTATTTGTCATGCCCTACCTGAGCCCAAGGAGTGGCCCGCTTATAAACACCTAGTAGGATGTCCTATGATTTGTGTTTTTGTCATTGTTGTGGTGGCTTCATATTTCTGAGTTAAGACCAGGGGTGTGTGTCAAAAGTGGAACCCTAAACAACAGATTCGCCAGACAATTCGTTGAACATGTCAGATTGTTTGTTTCGCACTGCTCTCCGCAACCTCCGGAATTAGTGTCGGTCGCATCGCAGGCTGCTCCATGTTGTTGATGCCCTTTTATTGAGGATTCCGATGTGATCCTTGGTCCGTTGGTAGACCTCACAGCCAATTCTCCACTAGCTACAGTCTTTGCAGTCTTTTGTTCATCAAGGCAAAATGTCGTTGAACACCCAACAATCACAAATGTCCTTCCATTTGCCCACCAACATCCACCAACCAATTATGAAACCAAAAAAACAAACAAATATTTATATATTATATATATAGTTATAAATAACTACATTATATCACAACGGGGTTTGGCCTTCCTGTTCCAACAAACAACCCCTTGACCCGCAATGTTCAGCCTCGCTGAAGAGCTCCTTTGGCCGGAGGGCCTCTTGCGGCCGCAAAGCCAACCTGACGGTAGGCACCGATGGTCTGTAATTTTCCAAGCACTGAATCTTGAGGTCTGCATGACACCGAGTCAGACCGATTCCTACCTGAGGATCAAATGAGTTGTCGGAGCATGGAATCATCTGGCTCCATAAACACAAGTATATTATAACTATAAGCCTTAATGATTATGCTTGAATAATAGCTGAATAGTTGAAACGGAGTGGGATCCGAAGTCACTACCATGTTTAGATTGGCTTATCATGGGAAATGTTGGCAATCTATACAAACCACCCCTCTTTGCTTTCTAAGGAGAACCACCTTAGCCCGTTTGGTTGGTTCGTTGTCCAATTGTGTGAATTGTCCCTGTACAAACCCAAAAACATCAAAAACACACTTGAAAACGTGCTGAGGACGCCCATGTCTCAGCCAGGATATCTGGACCTTGCATCAACGCAGTGATGCTGGGTTAGTTGTCATCTGGGTAAGGTAATTGAACCAGACAGTAACATGGCTACGTATGGCTACGTCACCATCTCGCAAAGCAAAGGCCCACTGGACCGCATGCTCAGCATCACGAAAGAGAATAACATCGGTGCAGGTACATGGACCACAAAGAAACCGCATTACAGCGAGGTACCTATTGCAGATTATTGCTACTGTCTATTCAAACAGCCGGCACGTCTTCACGCAGGTGATCAGATGTAGGGCATCTGCGTTGGGGAGCAATCTCACCATCTGCAGACCGATGGCCCTGCGCACGTTCCACTGTACGACCGAAGCACTAAGATGCACTAAGACATACTAAGACTAAGACAAAAACAACAAAAAAATACAACAACTAGTTGATTGGTTTCAGTCCTTCTCAATTCGTGGGGTGTTTAGAGCACCCACCACTGGCTGGACCCGTCTCAGCTAGCTCCCGGCTACAAGTGTCGCCTCTCAAACTTCGGCAGCGGCGAGGGCGATGGCAAGCCTTTCAGCGCCCCGTGCGCGCTTGGGTGGGGGTCATGTACCACGGCGCTGGGAAACCTGCACACAATCCGGGGATGTACAGGATGGGCAGGCGGTCTACACAGTCTAAAACATGTTTGAACACATCCAACGTTCGTAGACTCGTAGACATTCGTGACAAAAAGTGCTGACCTCGGGAGATTCCCCCGACGCCTCCCCGAAGATGCGGTCGTTTGGTGTGGCCATCCCAGGTGCGCTTGAAGGGTCCCAGGACTGGATACTGCCACTGGAGGGATTACTACCTGTTACTAGTAGTTTCTTGTTACTACTAGTAACAATAAACTACTATATAGTAACAGGTAGTAGTCCCTCCAGTGGCAGTACTAGTAGTAATGGCCTCCAACCTAGTAGCGATGGCCTCCACCCGGTCGTAGCTTCTTGTTCCTGGTCGTTTTCATATAAGGTCTTCATCGCCGTACTTCCCCCGTTCTGGTCGCCTGAACTGATTGCTGGGCTTGGTGCGCAGGTGGAACAGTCATCATCCCTGGCAAGTTTCACACAGGATGCCGCGAGTGAAACAAGACGAGTGAACTGCCCTAGGGCGGCCATGGGGAACAACATCGTGCTGAAGGTTAGAGGGGGGAACCAATTGAGGTGGCGATTTGCTGAGCCAAAGACCCTGACTCTATTCTCTGTCGCCGTTATTCTCTCTCTCTCTCTCTCTAAGAAAAAACAAAACTTTAAAAAAACTACTTCGCTTTGGAGAGAATGTGTTTGATTCCTTTGTGAGTGACACGAACTTCCACACGAAACCACGGCGGTTGAAGAAGGAAATCGCTAAGGACTGGGCGTGGATCGTGGAACATGTGGGCGTCTCACCATAAAAGCCTCTACAACTTGGTGCCACAGGTCACTCAGGTCGCCATTGTTGTCCCCTTCGTTGTCTCATCCAACACATACTAATCCCCCTTTGACAAAAATGGCTGGGCTTCGGTTTAAAGGTCCCAAATGGTTCACCCAACTTTGGCACCCATGGATAGTATTCAAGGCCTCCGGGTTCTATCACATCCATATCATCCATCAACCGAGAGTCCGCAAACGAGCAGAATGAACCAGATTTTAAGCTACTAGGAACAAGGGCATCGCTACTAGGTTGCAAGGAAGCTACTAGTAGCTCCTGGCATGTCTACTAGTAAC